AGCACAATGTTGTCGTCCAACATACGCCTCTCAACACCGCGCTTCTATCGGGTCTTAACGGCATGAGAGAAAAGTTAGATGACTTATAGAAACAAAACCAGGGCAATGCCTCATGCAATGTGAATGAGACTGACAAACTACTGATAAAAACTCCTTGTTTGCTGCTGAATTTGGTGTGTAATCAGGCAACCTGAGTCAGGGAAGTTGAAGAGACTACAAAATATTGACTGGTGACTGCAGTACCATTTTGCCAATTTTTACATTTGTTCCTTTAATGACCACCTGCTGTGACTGTGGATACTGCACATTGGACCGGAGCTGTTGGCCTCTCTCACCAGTAGAGGGCGCTGTTCAGGTGTGTTCATTGTTGTCTCCTCATGTAACGCTAGAGAGGCGGGATCAAATAAAAAACTATGAAAATCCATGTTCAGACCTTCAACTTGACTCAGACGTTAACTCTGGAGGCAGAAGGACGACCACAAACTTTACACAGAACTTTATTTTTTTCTGATTTTGATTTAGTTTTCTGTATTGTGTTTTGTGATTGTTTATGTCAATGACATTTATAAAGATGTGTCCAGAATTATTTCCGAATTATTTTTCTTTTCATTTCATTTGTTGATGAAGTGATAACACACCTATTTATTTATTTTTGTCAAGTGTTTTCAGACATTTTGAAATTCATTTGTTACTGTAGGTAGTTTTTCCAGTCTTGGTATTTTTATCTAGGTCATTCTATTTTGAGGCATTAACATACAGTAAGGCAAGGCAAAGTTATCTGTAGAGCACAGTTCATACACACGGCAACCTCAACGTGCTGAACAAATGAAGATTAAAGATGAAACAATCTATTAGAATTATCTAATTTAACACTGTACAATAAAAATAAAAATCCTGGATTGAACATTGTCAGAAGAAGAAGCCTGTCTCAACTTTTTCAGAGGCCATCCTGTGCTCCTCAAGTCCACCTTTAACTGTAAGAACTATAAGAGCTGGCAATTTTTCTTCCGGGAAAACAAACACAGATCTTTTTATTAAACATGTTTATTAATTCATTATGTTTAAAGATATATCCTTTTATTTGGCAGAACCCATGTACATAAGCCCTAGAATTATATGTTTTATGATTGTACCTGTCCAGTCTTTATTCAATGTTTTGTCAGTAATCAGTTTTTTCATGCTATCAAGACTTTAACATCGCCTCATTTTGGCTCGTGCACTAAAGTTGAGCCATCCATCTATATTCTTCCCTTAATCCCTTTTCCTGGTCGGGGGGGGGGGGGGGGCACAGATGCCACCCAGTCCACACAGCACCACCCCTCACTCATCCTCCTGCAGGTGGTCCACAGTCCACAAGTCCCACAGAGGAAAGACATGACTAAAGAATGTCCCCAATAAATCTTGGAGAGTCGACTCAAATCCATTTTAGGGATATTTTAAATTTCAACAGAGTTATCTTGTCACTCTAACAAAAGCCTGATTAAAATGGTACGTTGTAACACATTTACTTCCAGAATACGGGTTCTGAATTACTAATTTACTTTACATTCATTTGCAGATTATAATATTTGAAATATGTTAAAGATTCTATTTGAATTGATGCAAGTTCCATTATGCATTTTAAACAGATAAAATTGAAAAATATAAGACATGACTGCCCTCATAACTTACATACATTATACAAAGATACATGTTTTCTGCTAAATATTTTGTTAATTTTCCGTTAATTTAGATTCCCGTTTAGCTGCAGAAACATACATAGCGATGCCTTCTTCTTCCTCTAGTCTTGTCGCTTTCCTTTTCCTTTCTTCTAGTCTTCCTTCCTTTTCTAATTCCTCTCTTTCTTCTTTTCTTCTTTCTTTAAGTCGTTCTTCTCTTTACAGTAGCTATCGTATTCTATGCCTACTTAATCCTCCTTCTTCTGCCCCCTTCCCCTTATCCTTTTCACGTTTTTGCTCTTTCTATATCTTATCTATTTCTTTCAATTTCTGCCTTTTCATATTGCCCTCTCTTTCCATACTACTTTCCTCTTCTTCTTCCATTTTCTTCTTTCTTTTCCCTTCTTCTTCCTTTCTTCTTCTTTTTTTCCCTCTTCTTTTCTCTTCTTCCTTTTTTTTTTTCTTCTTTTCTTTTCTTTTCTTCCTCTCTTTCTTCTCTTTCTTCTTTTTCTTTCTCCTCCCTCTTCTTTCTCTTTCTATCTTCTTTTCTTTCTCTTTTTTTTCTTCTTTTCTTCTTTCTTGCTTTTCTATCTATTCTTTTTCTTCCTTTTTTTCTTTTCTTCCTTCTTTTCTCTTTTTTTCTTCCTTTTTTTCTTCTTTCTTCTTTTTTCCTTTCTTTCCTATCGTTTCTTTTCGTCTTTCTTTCTTTCTTTTCTTTCTTTCATCTTCCTGCTCTCTTTTCTATTCCTCTTTTCTTTTCTTTTCTTTTCTCTTCTTTCTTTCTTTCTTTCTCTTTCTTCTTGTCCCTTCTTCCTCTCTCTTCTTTCTTCTTCCTTTCCTTCTCTTCTCTTCTTCCTTCTTCCTCTTTCTTTTCTTCTTCTTCCTTCTTTTTCCTTCTTCTCTCATTCTTTCTCTTCTTCTTCTTCTTCTCTTCTCTTTTTTTCTTTCCCTTCTCTTCCTTCTCTTTCATTTCTTTCTTCTTTTCTCTTTCCTTCTTCTTCTTCTCTTTTCTTCTTTCTTCTTCCCTCTTCTTCTTTCTTTCTCTTCTTTCTCTTTCTTTCTTCTTTCTCTTCTTCTTCTTTCTCTTCTGTTCCTTCTTCTCTTCTTTTTCTCTTTCTCTTCCTTTCTCTTCTTTTCTTTCCTCTTCTTCTTCTTTTCCTTCTTTCTTCTTTCCCTCTTTTTTCTTCCCCTTCTTCTCTTCTTCTTCTTCTTTCTCTTCTCCTCTTCTTCTTTCTTCTTTTGTTCTCCTTCTTCCTTTCTTTTCTTCTTTCTTCTCCTCTTCTTCTCCTTTCTTCTTCTTTTCTTTCTCTTTCTCTTCTTTCCTTCCTTCTTCTCTCTCTTCTTTTCTTCCTTCTTTTTTCACTTTTTTCTTCTTCTTCCTTTTTTCTTTCTTCTTTCTTCTTTTCTTCCTCTCTTTCTTTCCGTTTCTCCTTTCATCCTTCTCTTTTCTTATTTTCTTCTTTTTCTTTTTCCTCTTTTCTTTCTTTCTTTCTTCTTCTTCTCTTCTTTTCTCTTTCTTTTTTTTTTTTCTTTCTCTTCTTCTTCTCTTCTTTCTTCTCTTCTTCTTGTCTTTTTCTTCTCTTTTTCTTCTCTTCTTCTTCATCATCTCTTTCATCGTCTTCTTTTTTATTCCTTGTTCTCTTTTTTTTCTTTCTTCCTTCTTTTTTTCTTCTCTTTTCCTACTTTTCTTCTTCTTTCGTTTCTCTTATTCTTACCGCCATTCTATTTCTCCTTCCTTTTCCTCCTCCTCTCTCCTTTTTCTTTGCTCTTTCCAGACTTCCCTGTTTTCCTCTATTTCTTCTTCTCTCCTCTTCTTATTTTCATTCTATTTCTACAAATTTCCTCGGGTCTATGTACTCATCAATGTCACAGTAGCATGAAAATTGAAGAAAAATCTGCTATGTTACAACAAAAATACAGAAATGTTGCTTACATGCATACAGTACATAGATACATACAGTACATAGATACATACAGTACATAGATACATACAGTACATAGATACACACAGTACATAGATACACACAGTACATAGATACACACAGTACATATAGATACAGTACAAATACATACAGTACATAGATACATACAGTACATAGATACACACAGTACATATACATACAGTACATAGATACATACAGTACATAGATACATACAGTACATAGATACATACAGTACATAGACACATACAGTACATAGATACATACAGTACATAGATACACACAGTACGAAGATACATACAGTACATAGATACATACAGTACATAGATACACACAGTACGAAGATACATACAGTACATAGATACATACAGTACATAGATACACACAGTACATATACATACAGTACATAGATACATACAGTACATATACATACAGTACATAGATACATACAGTAAATATACATACAGTACATAGATACATACAGTACATAGATACATACAGTACATATACATACAGTACATAGATACATACAGTACATAGATACATACAGTACATAGATACATACAGTACATAGATACATACAGTACATAGATACACACAGTACATATAGATACAGTACAAATACATACAGTACATAGATACATACAGTACATATACATACAGTACATAGACACATACAGTACATATACATACAGTACATAGATACATACAGTACATAGATACATACAGTACATAGATACACACAGTACGAAGATACATACAGTACATAGATACATACAGTACATAGATACACACAGTACATAGATACACACAGTACATAGATACATACAGTACATAGATACATACAGTACATAGATACATACAGTACACATATACATACAGTACATAGATACATACAGTACATAGATACACACAGTACATAGATACACACAGTACATATACATACAGTACATAGATACATACAGTACATAGATACACACAGTACATATACATACAGTACATAGATACACACAGTACATATACATACAGTACATATACAGTACATAGATACATACAGTACATAGACACATACAGTACATAGATACACACAGTACATATACATACAGTACATAGATACATACAGTACATAGACACATACAGTACATAGATACATACAGTACATAGATACATACAGTACATAGATACATACAGTACATAGATACATACAGTACATAGACACATACAGTACATAGATACATACAGTACATATACATACAGTACATATACATACAGTACATATATACATAATTTACATACATGAATTCTAAAAAGCGTGTGTTTTATATTTGATCCCATGTTTTGTAATTAATTCAGATTTTTCTTGTTTTATTCAGACGAGTCGACATGTTATGACGATGGGAAAATGTACCAAGTTGGAAACCAGTGGCAGAAGGAATATCTGGGTGCCATCTGTACGTGCACATGCTACGGAGGACAGCAGGTAAAACACACAACGACAGCTGTAGAATACTTTTCAACAGTCGACCTCAGGTTAATCAGGACGGATTCTTGTCTAAATACAGAAAACGTACTAAAAACTGCATGTTTCTGTCGTCTCAGGGCTGGCGTTGTGAGAACTGCAGGAGGCCCGCAGTAAACACAGACGTGGAGGCAGATCTGATGCAGCCCGTTCACACAGACGTCTTCGACCGATACCGAGAAAACGCTTTAAGGAAACTGGTGAGTGGAGGACAGTAAACATTTTTCACCCAGAGCTACTTTCCCGGGTTGATAAAGGCAGAGAGCTACCCCTTTGCTTTTGGATCAATAAAGTATCTACTGTATCTATCTATCTATCTTTGCGCTACCCTGGGAAAAATGTGGTGATATATTGGCGTGAAAGAGCCTGATATTGGGAACAGTCATTAGCATCACATTCACATATTTGTTACTAGTGACAAAGTAAGTGAATTCACAATAATTAATAATGATAATGAATAATATAATCTGAAATATGAAGTATATTATTTGATTAGTTCATTTGTTAATCCGTCGGCGAGCTACTCGTGCATGGGTGTCAAAGTCAAGGCCTGGGGGTCAGATCCAGCCCGCAAAGTACCTTAGCCATCCTTAAACTCCAGTCAATTATTATTTCCCAACAAGTACAAAATGAAATTAGTCAGATGGTGTGGTAAGACCAGGCTTTATTATTATTCTGATTTACTTTATATTAAATGTATATAGGCGGATTTTCCCAAATTTTAGGAAAGAACCACCCTCTCCATTTTTAAAACATAACTCTTTGGTCTTATTGGACGAGCACGATTCATCAGAATGATTGTCAATGGGCTCTATGCACGCACCGCTTCTGCGTTTTAGCTACAACCCCACCTCACTTCCTGTTCATGGGAAACGGCTTGAGTTTCACTGGAGTTCAGCAGTGGTTTACACGAGTTTGCCAAATAATGCTCAAACGGGAATTACACTGTGAGGATACTGGGTGTTTTGGGACACAGCAGTGCTGTTTGATTGTGCTTTGATTGTGTTTTTATAAAGTTAAAAAATTGCTCCGAGTGGCCACAGTCAAAGCTCTACCTCAGAGGGAAAGCACAGCGACACTTTTGGGTCAGTCTCACAGCTGAATGTATCAATCTAATTACTAAAAAACGTCACTAAAACCCACCTAAAAGCCATAGCATAGGCAGGAAGTGAACGGGCTGATCTGCGTTAACAGGAAATGACGTTACGCCTCCCAGTGCATGTAGCCCATTGGGAGTGTCACTCCCGTATTCGTCCCGGAAACCGGATTCGTCCGGAAGTTCAGTTTGCGCATGTCAAAAAGTTTAATATGTCCTTAAGTGGTGACTGGTTAAGTTTAGGCGTCTGAGTAAGATGGTTAAGTTTAGGGTTAAGGCTGGGTTGGGGTTATTTTATGGGAATGGCTGGTTAAGTTTAGGCATGAGTAGGTAGTTTTTTATAAATACTTCCGCTTCCGTCCAGATTCCGTGACGTAATCTACTGCTGCGTATGCTCTTTGGATCAAACTGAACTTCCGGACGAATCCGGTTTCCGGGACGAATACGGGAGTGACAGGGAGGACCAATAGTCTTGATGATCCACCCGGAAGTAGAAAATAGTTCAAGAACAGGCTTTAGAAAGAATTAGAAAAATCAATGCAAATGTGAATACAAACGGGAAAGATATAAGTTATTCATGTGATTGTCAGCATTTTTTTGTTAACACATATTTTTCTTGTTTTGGCAGAACATCCACTGTCCCATTGAATGTCTGAGGCCGGAGCTTCTCGCAGACGCACAGAGTCCATCCAAAAAGTGACCAAGAACTGAAGCAGAGGCCTGACACTGTCCAAACCACTTCACGAAGGAAAACTCATGCTGCTTTTATTCAAATAGGAGCTTTACTTTTGCCTTGTAAAGGTTTCCCCCCATCACACCGTTTAGTGTCTTATCACCGACCTGTGCCTTTTAAATGTGTTTTTTATCAAATGAATTGTTAGAATTAAAAACAAAACAGTGATTTCTCGCGGCTTTCCTCAGATTTCCTTCAAGATACAACTTTGTAAATTTGTGCCCTTTCTGTAATGTCGTCCCCTGTTTAGTATATGAACTGTTTTGTGAAAAAACTTTGAAATATTTTCCCATTTTACAAGTGAAAAAGACCATTCAATTTCTAACCAAAGAGTTCTACTTTGTTCTGTGTGTTTTTTCATTGGAATTCAAGCACTGACACCTTTTGCATTAGTGTTAAATATACAAGGCAAGTTTTATAATACAGTTTCTCACCCTTTCATTATATTAGTTTTTCTGCCCCCTGGTAAGAAGAATGAGACCAAAGTCGACCAAAAACAAAAGTATTTTAATTGCGATGGAAATGAGTAACGTGAGTTCGAAAAGAAATGTCTTCTTTTATTCTTTGTTTTATTTATCCCGTTTATCTGGCATTTGTTGAATGCTAATTTGGGGTGTACACTTTATTTTTTCAAACTTGTTTTGTATTTTTTGGTGCCGAAATTTGAACTACTGTGGATTGAAACTTTTTAATAAACAGAAAAAAATCCAAATGTGTGTGTGCTGTACTTACGCAGACGAAAGTCACCAGTCTCAATTCAGTGCCCTCAAGTCATAAGGCCCAGTCCCAGGTCAAGACAGGCAAGTCCTGAGTAAAAAGAGGCAAGTCCAGGGTCAAGACAGGCAAGTCCTGAGTAAAAAAAGGAAAGTCCAGAGTCAAGACAGGCATTCAAATGTGGGTTGAAATGCTGCTCATAGTTAAACGTTGTGGCTTCCCTGTTATTTTCTATTAAGTTCAGCATCCCCGGTTGATTTAGCTGGTCACTCAGAACTGATAGTTTATTATTTCCTTGGCAACTAACAGTAAACAAAAACGTTACATATTGTTACAGAGAAAATAATACCAACAACATTAAACAAACCTTATAATAATAATAATAATAATAATGCATCGGTTTTATATAGCGCTTTTCTGGACACTCAAAGACGCTTCACATGTGTCATTATTCATTCACTCCATACACGGTGGTGATAAACTACTGCTGTAGCCACAGCTGCCCTGGGGCACACTGACAGAAGCGAGGCAACCAGTATGCGCCATCGGCCCCTCCGACCACCACCAACCATTCACACACACACCAGACTCATTCTAGGCAATGGGGGTGAAGTGTCTTGCCTAAGGACACAACGGCAGTTTGGCACTTTACAGCCGCAGCCGCCCCACTGTGGCTGGTGTTCCCAGAGGTTAAGTGTCTTGCCAAGGACACAACGACAGTAGTCAGAGGGAGTCGATGGTGAAAGTCTTGAGCGGGGCATGAACCCACGACCTTCTGGCTCAAAGGCCAAAGCTTATTCCCTCATCAACCAAGTGCCAAGGGCACACAAACCATAGAATTTAACCTTGACTGATAACTTACTAAAACCAAGAACTGTAGCAGACAACACACTTGTTTGAAACTGCCACTTTCTACTCACTCGTGGCCAAACAGTTACCATGCACACAAAAATAAAGTGCTGATCATACAATAAATAATCAATCAATAATGCCATTTACATTCCACGATTTGTTTCTTGAGGGTCTCCAAGTATTTTTTTAGGCAAACAAAATAATCTTAGGAATTATTTTGCTGCCACATCCATGTTCGTCGTCTCGCCCTTGGATTTACAGCTTGTTCCATGTGTTTGGCCGCTGTCAAAACGATCTACATGATGGACCGGTGGACACACAGACGCACACACGTAAACAGGGATACAGCAGTCATTGTCTCCATACTTTTTATCTTTGCGGTTTTAATGGGAGGTAGCAATTCATTACAAGTCAATAGGCACAAGTCCAAGTTAAAGTCAGAGTTATTGATGTCCAAGTCCAGGTCAAGTTGCTGGTCTTTTTTTTATTTCATCAAGTTGAGTTGAAAGTAATCAAATTCATGACTCGAGTCCAAGTCACATGACTCAGTGAGTGAGGTTTTAATGAAATATCTAGAAAATGTACAGGAAATATTGATATTGATAATATTGTCCCCTCTGTGGGACAAAAAAAAGATCTCTTATCTAATCCTTTATTCCTGGGACGAATATAGGATCTCTTCATCTTAAACTTGTTTTGTCATGTTGAAAAACCTTTACTTGACCCCCATTAAAGTCAGATTTTTTGCATTCACAGAAATACTGCTTCCAAACAATAGATTGGGCGTTTAATGATTCAATGTTATTAATAGTATTTTATCAATTTTATTTTGAAAGAAACACCAACAGCGCTTTTGCCTTTATTGCGAAGCTCCCTACCGGAAGTGCATGTCTGTTTTACTACCGCTTGACGAATTCCGGAAGTGAGCGAAACTTTTCCCACTTTCGTTCTCGGATTTGTGTTTGTTTGAGGCACGAACACATCTCTGGTGAAGATGGACAGCGTGGACAGTCTGATTCTGAAGCTGCACGATGTAAACGCGGTGAAATTTGGGGAATATAAGCTGAAAAGTGGCATGATGACGCCTATTTACATCGATCTGAGAGTGTTGGTGTCTCATCCAGCGCTTATGAACCAGGTACGAACCACGTGCTTCTGCTGTGCACTGACCACAAGCTGATCTTCACTTTAGAGCAAATATTCAACAAAGTATAACTGGTAAAAATAATAATAATAATAATGTGGCTAAAATTCAGCATTTGTCTTATTCTGTACAACAAGTCACTTTAAGCCACTGCATTAAGACTGAAACAAAAAAAACCTGCACTACTATTGAAACTTCTTTCTTGATTCCCACTTTCTAATTGACACTTTTTTGTACATAATATCCTGCATTAACATGTTGCACATTTCTACTTTTTGCACACTTCTTGAGTGTTCCTATCCTTGCCAATGTGACATGTAAATTTCTCCTGTGTGAGATTAATAAAGTAAATCTTATGATAGTAGGTTTGCTTTTCAATCCATCCATTTTCTTCCCCTTAATCCATTTCTGGGTCGAGGGGGTGGCAGTCAGAGCTACCACCCAGAGCACCAACACCTCACTGATCTTCCTGCAGTTGGCGAGTCCACAGGAGGACGGGGCTTCAGGCAAAGTGGGGTTAAGAGTCTTGCCCAAGGACACAACGACAGCAGACATCAGTGGGAGTCGGTTGAGAAGGTCTCGTGGTGGGCTCAAACCGTGGATCTATTAACCCACGATCTTCAGGCTCAAAGACCAAAGTTTAACATCCTCCTATATACCTTAGGACATTAGGACATCCATCCCACTGTGGGGATTTTCAGAACATGCAATAGCAAAGTGACTGATAATGCCCAATCTGCGGGTATTGTGGTGGTTGCATTCTAACATGTGGGTTTGTTGTTGCTGATTTCTGAACATTGTAAAGCGCTTTGGGTGATTTTGGTCTGTAAAATGTGCTATATTATAAATAAACATTGCTTACTTTGTTGGATGCAGGTTGCCACACTTATTTACCAGAAGGTGAAGGATGAGAATCTCCAGTTTGACTCTGTGTGTGGCGTCCCTTACACAGCTCTGCCTTTGGCCACGATTATCTGCTCCAGACACGAGCTGCCGATGCTCATCAGGAGGAAAGAGGCCAAGGACTACGGTCAGTGTCTACTAAATATGTTAATGGGACATGTTAGCTCAATGTGTGGACCAAAACATTCTATATACATAGGAATTGTAAGCCTGTTTTATTAATTTTTATAATTAAGAAAAAAAAAGGTTAGCTAGTAATGCTGCCTGAAATCCCATCTTCACTGTAATTATATACTTATTTTAGTACGACTTTTGACTGTGACACTTTTTGATATGTCTTATCTTGTTTTTCCTTCTTGATCTGTCTCTGTTAAGCATATTGACTGACAATGTGTGATATGTGCCATGGAAATACATTTCATGCCTTCCCTGTTAACTATTGCACTGGTTCCTGCTGTGATTTCTGTTGTTGTAGCGGCTAGGGCTGCACGATGTAATGAAAAAATATCGTCATAGCAAAACTATATTACCGGTCAAACCAAAGGCACATTTGTTTTGATACTTTTTTAACATACTTTTGTGTGACTTTTTGCAGGCACTAAAAAGATGGTGGAGGGAATTTGTCGAGAAGGGGACATTTGTCTCATCATTGAAGACACGGTGACCAGTGGGACCAGTATTCTGGAGACGGCTGAAGTGCTTTACAAAGAAGGACTGAAGGTACAAAAGAATCTGTTCACTGCTTTACATGGACTTCCTTTTTAGACGTACTAAAAACCTCCTGTTAAACGTTGTACTCGTATCAAAATCCATTGTCTTTACACGTCCAAACCATTTAAGGGAGAGGACAAAAAATGTACACAACACAATAAATATTTGATTAAAAAAAATAAAAATAAAAAGATCTTCTTGATTGTAGGTGGTGTGTCTTTTATAGTCCAGAAAGTACGGTAATGAAATCTGGCTCATCTTTGCTTGGTCTTTGAGGTGACGGATTCGATAGTTCTGATGGACCGGGAGCAGGGAGGAGTGGAGATGCTGGCCTCGGAGGGGATCCGTCTGCACCCCATCATCTCCATGTTCAAACTGCTGAACGTGCTGCAGGCGGCCGAGCGAATCGACGCCCAGACGGCTCAGAGCGTTCGCAAGTTCATCCTGGAGAACAACACTTTCAGGTACAAAGGATTCTTCTGCTTTATCCGTTGCCAGCGGTGGAGGCAGCAGTCTGAGCAGAGACGTCTAACCTCGCACACCTCATAAGCTCTACTCCTCGTGGTTTTAGTTCAGAGAGAAGGTTTCTGAAATGTAAAATGAGATTAGATAAACCTTTTTATTTCTCCCTAATACACATGTTATAGAGGAGTAGAAGCGGAAATACGAGTACTAGCATCAAACCAGATCTAGTATTTGGACAAGGCAAGACAAATGTAAACACAAGGCAACTCAAAGTGCTGAACAAAACAAGATAGAGACAGTCAAACAAGGCATTAAAACATGCATTAAAGAAGGATAAAAACATAAAATCTCTCAGTTGTAACAGCTAAACTGAACAGTTTTTAACCTTGATTTAAACATAGTCAGAGAAGAGGCCTGTCTCACATTTTCAGGAAGATTGTTCCAGATTTTAGCAGCGTGAATCTGAAATGCAGCCTCCCCATGTTTAATTCTTACTCTGGGCACCAGTAGGAGACCAGTCCCTGTGCTCCTCAGAGTCAGAGTTTAAGGTAGTATAGTGTTTTGTTAAAGGTATTTAGGTGGAGTTTCCCAGATTTTAGGATCCACCCGTCAGTAGAAAATCCTTCAATATACCTTTTAAGATTCACTTGGGTCAAGGATAAGTTACATGTGGTGGCATGCTACATAAATGTCTCCCTTTGAATGAGGAAATAAAGTAACAGTTCTTGAAATAAATGGTTCAGTCCCATTGAAGAATCTTGCTTTAACACAATCAGAATGTGTCAAATTACGATAAAAATCACTCGATTCAAGCATTTATATACCTCTTTTTAGTGTAAATAGTTTTTTAAAAGGCCATATATATATATATATTTTGTTGCCATTCAAATAAAGTTTCTGTCCTTCTAGAGCCAATCCTTTCAAATGTATGACCAATAAATCCCTGTAGGATTTAGGGATGTAAATCGGTGACCGTTTAACCGGTGGTTGACCGTCACAGCGTTAACCGGTCAAAGCTGTCAGTTAAAAAAAAGAAAAGGGGGAGGAGAAGGTCTCTTAATAACGCTATTTTAAGCCATATTTGCACGGTGTGCTGAGCGGGTCTGTCTCTAGCTGTGTGCGCCAATGTATCAGTAAACTCCGGGCCGACTCTCATGCCGCACGCGCCACATGCACACGCACGTGCGCACACACCCACTTTCCCTCCTCCATTGATACGTAACATCCACACGCATCATCTCTTCCCTCTGTCCGCCAAAGTTGCACACTAGCGCGGGTTAGAACTACATTGGAGTTTACATTTACACACACATACATACATATACACACACACATACCGGTCTGTCGCGCTCCTCTGTGTCACGCAGCCCAAAGTATCCAAATACGTGGCTTCAGTCAAATCACATGAAACATGTTTGTGCTGCTGGTCCTTGTCATTAGATCAGCTCCACACACATCACTTGTATTTAAACTTTAGCGGAGATCTGCGAGATGCGGCTCGTCACTCGCTGCCCTGACCATGTGAACGAGCCGTCGTTTGCTGCTAAAAAGTGTTAACCCCGCAGCACAAGTATGGAAAGATTAAAAAAGCAGTTCTCTGTGCGCAAAGGTGCCGAAGTTGTTGCGGGTTTTGCCGCCGCTGTCTCGGCTCTGATCAAGTGGAATATTTTTAACTACGCGGTTAACCCTTTAAGGATCACCTAATTTCGCCTGCTCCTTCTCGAATTATGATACCCAAATGGAAATGCTTATTGTGTGGACATCTTGTGTCTGATTTTGTGTTATGAGGCCTCATTTGAAAGGTAAAACCTTCTAGTTTCTGAAAATGTATGTTACAGTTTGTTAGGAAGGACACAGTCTGCATTACAGCTTCTCAAACATGAGTCAAAGTTAGTTTTTTTTGTCAAAAAAAATAAAAGGCAATTTCAAAAGGTTCTCCTGAAGACATACTTTATGGTATGATGTTCAAACTCACCAGAGCAGATGTTTGTGGTGTTGGAAACACCTATATGAAATTTTAGACCTTTAGGTGGAACTATTTTGATGCTGGGGGCTTTTTTGTAACTAATGGGCACATTCGGCACAAGTGGTCCATTTTTGTGCCAACTGTGCCAAAGTGTTTTACATGCAAATTATCAATGTTTTTACATCAAAAATCCATTTATATAATTTTTTGGCTATTACTCCTGCTATAAATAGCATTTTTTCCAGTTATTGAAAGGTTTGCAGAAAAGCTATTATTTATATAGTTATAGCGCGTGTTCTCCGTGAAAAAGGCTCCGTCTTCCTCTTTACGCATTCAAATATGACGGGAACAGTGGGAGGAAGCTAGAAGTCCGACACATCGCCTGAAACCTGAGATTATTGGCTACAAGATGATTTGATTGACATCCAAATCGGCCAATGGTAGTCAAGACAATGCTGTCGTGACGCACAGATATCTATGTGAATGGAGCGCTAAAGCTAGGTGCGCTTGTTTTACTCAACTTACTCTACCTTCCAAACCATAGCACTGAAAAGTCCGGGAATGGGCTTGTTTTGAAGGGGAGGCTTAGGGGAAGACAAACATAGCCAGTGACGCTAGGTCCATCCATCCATCCATCCATTTTCTACCCTTTAATCCATTTCTGGGTCAGGGGGGTGGCAGTCAGAGATGCCACCCAAGTCTCATAGCACCAGCCCCTCACTGACCCTCTGCAGGTGGTGAGTCCACAGGAGGACGGCTGCTCTCCGAGTGTGAGCATAGCCTTGATCTTTTCAGTGGGGGCTTTGGGCAAAGTGGGGTTAAGTGTCTTGCCCAAGGACACAACGACAGCAGTCATCACATCCATTTTCTACCCTTTAATAGTGACGCTAGGTAAACAGTAAAATGTCCTCTTCATACAGTGCGCAAAGAACAGGTTTTATTTTTGTTTGTGCAACTTTCAATACTCAAATATGTTGTTACAAGTGGATATCTACTATAAGGATGACTTTGAAGAAAAAACAACTGGATATAATTATTCTCTAGACCCTAAAGAACAAAACAAATGCACACATGTGTGGATTAGACGTGATTTGCCCCAGAATATTAGCATGACAAGGTAAGAAAGGACAATATATATTTTAAATATATATACAGTTGGACTACTTATTCTTAATTCTGGTTATATTTAATGTTTATTTGAACATAATACGCGTTTAGAGGTGGGAATAAGCTTTCAAAAGAGATATAGCTTGACTATATTGACACAAGTGAATTCTAATACTGATGCTGTTAAATGAAAAATAACTGAATCCTCCCTGTACAGGGAGGGTGATCCTTAAGAGGTTAACCGGTTTCAACCGGTTAGTGAGGCTCGGTGGTCGGTCATGAAAATTCATAGATTTCAACTTTCAGGTACATTTTCAAAACGGATTTATCTGTTTTTGCAAATGAATTGTTCAAATGTAGAATTAACCCAGTATTGGCAAACTGTAAATCATAATACAATCAACTCCATTAAATTGTTTTTGTTGTATGTGTATTGTACTAAAAAGACCCAAAGAGGAGGAGAACGGCAACGGCGAATCCCGTCCCAAGAAGCCATGCATCGAGCACAAAGAGATGACTTATGCAGAGAGAGCCAAACTACCAAGTATGTGCTTTGATTCTTCTGTCACTATAGACCACGGACCTAGAACAATATCTGGATAGCTTATAGCTGTCCCACGCATGGGCACCGGGGGCGCCCACGCTACTGCAGACTAAACTCACGTGGGCTACCCAGAAAAATGTCCCATAAAACTCAATGTAAACCAAAACAGCTCAACCTCAGCTGACAAGAGAACCTGACAGAGAACCTTCAATTTTCATAAAGGAGGATTTTGTGGGATTTTAGTGTCCCTTGTTGTCCACCGGGGCTTGCTATGGACACAGTCAGGACTTTGCAAATTTATTGATTCCTCACCATTTAGAGAATTAAACAAACACAGGTAATGCATTAATAACAAACGCATAGGAGCCATTGGTCCATAGGGAAATAAATGCTAATAAGTCTCTATACATGTCCTTAAGTTGGTCTACACACACTATACACAGACATACAGACTCGTTTTTTTTAAGCTTTGGATTTTAATGTCTGGATGTATTGCTTTATATCATCAAGACCAAAATGAAACGTGGCATGATGTTGACAACTGTCTCGCCTACACAGGAACAAGTCAAATATTTGAGCATTCCAAGTGAGGAAGGGGTCCTAATTATTTATTTTAGGGTAGGAATACTGTAAAACTGTAAAAATGTGATGAACAGAAAATTAAGGCTGCAGCTAACAATTATTTTTTCTATCAATTAATCTATAGATTATTTTTTCGATTCATCGATTAATCTATAGATTATTTTTCCTTTTACCGATTTATTTTTTCATTTAAAATGAAGGGGAAAAAATTGACGTAGGCCAGTATTTTCAAATGGCATGGCTTTTATTTAACCAAATAAAATTATGGCTCAATGGGCAACTCGGTAGCCTATAAAATGTGCAAATCAAAATATTCTGGAACACTCACTGTAAACATTTGAATAAAAGTATAGCTTATTTGCTTTAAAATGTGCAAAATAAAAAATAAATAACCAGCACAAAACAAAATGCAGATCAAAATATTCTGGAACACTCACTGTAAACATTTGAATAAAAGTATTGCTTTTAAAATAAACATCCAGTCCAACACACAATAACTAATTCCACTCATTCCAGTCTAACAGTTGTAATGAAGAAAGGTTAGCATGTCTACATGCTCTGGGGTGAGGATGGTTCTTTTCTTGTTTACAATATTCCCAGCAGCTGAAAATAGTCGCTCAGAAGGGGTCGATGTGGCTGGAACAGAGAGGTAAGACCGAGCCAGCATTGCCAGATTTGGAAACCTTGCCTCATTTTCTTTCCACCGGCTCTTTCCATAGCCGTTGTGCTGCTGTGGTAGGCCATTTCCGCTCGACACAGTGTGCATAAAACAACATTATTTGGCAGTTTCTGGAAATACTTGTGCCTTTTTCCCCTCGCTCGCATCGGCAGCATCGCGCGCCGCCATGATGTAAACAAGCGACGCGTCGGCGCACAAAAACTGCGTCGCGTATTTACGTAATCGATGACGTCGACTACGTCGACGCGTCGTTTCAGCCTTACAGAAAATGGTATTTCGTCCATGGAACTAACCTGAAGTTGCTCCATTCCTTTCCATGTCTTTTGCGTCCTGACAGTTTACCAAAACATACTTTGATGGATTGTAGGTTTAATTCAGGACATAGCACCGTGCGCTGGAATGTTTTTGCTGCTAAAGCAGAGTATTATGGGTTGGCGCCGGCGGATAAGTGGTCGGAGTTGACTTTTCAATAGTTTGTGTGAAATGGTAAAGGCATCAGAACATTTGAGGGATGATGCTGTGTGTTGTAAATGTCTTTGTGATTTGAATCTGAAGTAGCTTTTAAATATCAGTGTTTCCCACACATAGACAAATCTGTGGCGCAGCGGCACAGATTCGAGACCGACCGCCACATATTGCGTTTCGTTATCAACCCACTAGGCGCCACGTCGATTTAAGTCGACAAGCTGTGATACAGTTTAAAACGGCAGAGTGTGTCAAACGGTGTCAACATTCATTCAAACTCCCTGCCACTAGTTGGCAGACATGTCAGACTATCTCCCTGCCCCCAAAAAACGTCATGCTCTCATGCAAAATGTTCGAGCAAAACCGCGTTGAATCAGTGGAGAAACCATAGCGAAACACTGTTCTGCACAGAGTCAGAACAGTGTTTCTCAGAGTCAGTGCTGTCATTGGGAGGTTCGGAGACAGTTAGATTTGTGGAGAACAAGCCTGGAAGTCGCGTCGATACAGTCTATGGTCGTGGCACTGCGCCGCGACCTCCAGCTTCCCCTAAAGTCTCCGCAAATAATGCCTCTCACATATGTTATTATCGTGCCACAGTAACGTGTTGAAGAAGCCTTTTTCTTGTGTTCGTTGGACAAGAGAAAGAGCAGGGGAGACGAGAGCGAGTGGGAAGACACAACAGCAGGGAGAGTCGCGGAGACACACTGTCTGACCCCCCCCATACACACCGCCACACATTGCTTTCAAATCCGTGGGAAACACTGAATATGCTTCTTTTGTTGTCTTTTGTCCACAGACATTCACGCTCTCGCATCCAAGTTGCTGACCGTCATGGAGGAGAAGCACTCCAACCTGTGCGTGTCGGCCGACGTGACCAGCACCGAGGAGTTATTGGAGATCGCGGAGTCCCTCGGCCCCAAGATCTGTCTGCTGAAAACTCACATCGACATACTCAAGGTTAGACTGATGCCAAATCAAACAGAACACGCAAAAGAAAATGTGTTGGGTTAAATACATTTAAAAAACATTTTTTTAGGACTTCACAAGTGAAACTGGTCAGAAGCTGCAGGCCGTAGCCGAGAAACACAACTTCCTCATCTTTGAAGATCGAAAGTTTGCCGACATTGGGAACACAGTCAAGCATCAGTATGAAGGTACTGCATCTGTGTGTTCCCAGGCATAATCTGCTATTATACTTATTTATTTCGAGTTTAATGTACGTAATATTATTATCAAAGGTGGAACACATGGAATTTACTAATATATCATTCATTAGCAATTACTTAGTATAATATTGTACTTCTACTTCCTCTGACACAGCACCACGTTGTTAGCGAGTCCCTATTCCGTGTTTAACAAACTGTTTCTGTGTTTGTGTCCAGGGGGGCTGTACCAGATCTCCTCGTGGTCCCACATGGTAAACGCCCACGTGGTGCCGGGTCCAGGGGTGGTGCGGGGGCTCAGTGCGGTGGGGAAGCCTCTGGGTCGAGCGTGTCTCCTGATTGGACAAATGAGTTCTCAGGGAGCACTGGCCACCGGGGACTACACGCAGGCGGCGGTCTGTCTCGTTTTGGTCATTTTTAAAATCTCGTTCAGCGCGTTTTGGACTATACTCACGGCCCACGTTGGCTTCGCTTTGGTTTGTAGGTGAAAATGGCCGAGGAGAATTCTGATTTCGTGATGGGATTTATCTGCGGCGGGAAGTTGACGACCAGGCCAGAGTTTATCCACATGACCCCCGGAGTGCAACTGCAGAGCGGAGGTATCGTTGCTAACATTACATTCAAGTCGGACTTTGCAAATCTACCAACCAATCTTCATTTGTGGAGTGCTTTTTCTACACAAAGCACAAATCGTCGCATAAAACAAACACAAACATCTCCATTAAAAACACAATTCAAATCGCATAGGTCATTAAAAACATGAAAATAAAATCACACAATGGAAATAATGAATGAATGAAGCTTTTGTTACGGACTCATGGTCTAACATTGACACACAAAAAAAAAGGACAAGACACACAAGTTAAAAAGACAGAAGACAACTATACCAGTGCGCCCACATGCTCGACTGATAACGGGCCGCACTATAACCACAGTGCATTAAAATAATGATAAAATCCTTCAGTGGTTTGCAGATAAACAGTTTTTAACCTGGATTTGAACCTGGTCATAGTAAACTCCGCTCTCACATTTTCAGCAAGACTGCTCCAGATTTAAGCCGCATCTATGACTTTTAGTTTAAGCAGTTTTGTTATTATTATGCTGTTATTTTTACTACTACTGCTACTGATGCTGCTACTACTTTGACTTCCACCACACATTAGCAGACAACACTGATATCATCCTCTGACACAGGAGAAACTATCACACCGAGCGCTTATAATTGAATAGTGTCTTGATGTTTCTGGTTTTTCATTTTTTAAATTCTAGTTCAGTATCCTGATTTTAACGCCCATCCTTGTTCCTCAATTGACGCTCCACTTTCACTTCCTGTTCTTACATTTTTTCTCTGTGGCTTTGGTGCATTTCTCACATCATTCTTCACATTTATACAACAGTTTGTGCTCTTCTCAGAACAATTAGTACAAACTGCAAAACCTGGTGGAAAATCTGAAAAAGTGAGTCACTTTCTCAAAATGAAAAGTGAATTCCTCAAAAGCAAGTCCTCATGTCAATGAAACTGTCTCATTATAATAATACAGTAAGTCCTGACACCAGTGTGTCTGAACAGCAGTCAAATGTTTGTTTGTTAAATATAAACAATATAACAGTACTTTTTACTGTAAACTGAACATACTTTATTCTCATCCCGTCCGTCAAATATTTTTATTTACATCACAGCGGTTGTTGTCCCTTGAAGAAAGCGAGGAACACACCTCATAAGTGAAAACTGAAATTCACCTTAGAGCAATTTTGGTTTTGAGAACTAGTTCAACAATCTTGTAACTAAAGCAATGAAATGAGTTTTATAGGTAATGACTCTTCAGCTTCATATGTATGCTTCATTTTTACTGAAACGACAAAAGCAAATGATAATGTTATAAAACAGCAGAGAAATGTATGAAAGTAACTGATAGATGAACAAAAGAATTTGACATTTGTTCAAAGGAGAAACTACTGCGATGATGTCACACATGACTCAATGTTGTGGAGGATGAACTAATAGTTACTTAGAACTTTAAGTCTGATCTGAGAAATGAACGAAAGCGACTGAGAAAAACTGCAACAATGATATGAATTGACCAAGTTTGAAAGAAGATCACCAGGTAGAATGATCATTGAATTTCTGAGGTGTTCTGACAATTAATAATAAATAATAATACATCAAACTGGTATAGCGCTTTTTTGGATACTCAGACTTAGGGAAGTGCGGGTGATGGGTGTGAGGAGGTAGCAGTCTGCAATTCAGTCCAAATTTGCCATTCACTTTTTGAACAGTATGTTGCTAACTAACAAACAAGTAAACAAACCCAGGTGATTACATTACCTCCTTGGGCAGGGGACATATGGAGAATATAGTGAAATGTTCAGACCTAAACAACAAAAACTTGTAGTGATCATTCTCCGACAGCAGGTGGAGCCATCGCACATAGGATCTGCCCATGCCCTCTCAAACTAAAAGCTGTTTTTGTTTGCTCTGACAGGAGATGGTTTGGGGCAGCAGTACTCCACCCCAGAGAACGTGATCCACAGCAAAGGCTCTGACGTCATCATCGTGGGACGCGGGATCCTGGAGGCCCCCGATAGGCTGAAAGCTGCCGAGGCGTACAGGAAGTCTGGCTGGGACGGCTACACACGGCGACTGGCTTTGAATCAACAATAGATTAGCGCAATTTCTCATCATAATTTATAAATCCACGTCAGTAAGGAGTACCTGTTATAAGTAATGCATCTGAAAGCCTTACTGGAGCTGGTGAACAAATGAGGACACTATTTCTTGGGACACTTTGAATTATTGGTTTTTTTCTATAGCCATTGGATATTTTTGATTCGGGGTGTGTCCAGGACTTACATGAAGCTTACATGAAAAAAGCTTTAACATATTTTTCTTCCTCAGTATAATGCTGTACAGATCCAGTGTTAGTTCTGGATCGTTTTTATACACATAGACTTTTGATCCATTATATTTGACCTCACAGTAATTGGTGTCCTCTGGGGGTTTTCAGTGATATTACTTTGGTGCTTCAGTCTGTTTCTCGTCTGTCCAGAATTGTCTTTTTGAGAACAGACAAAATGGATGTACAGTTTTGCTAAAACTTGAGGGAAATGTTCTACATAAATATTGCTGTATGTGCGCACAATCCTACACTGCAAAAAATGACAAAATACGAGGTAAAAATTGCTCATATTTGGACTGATCATTTACGGAAGAATTTCTTGTATCTTTTTAAGACAATTTTGCTTGGTCCCATTGGCAAATCTTGTTTTAAGGCTCAGTCACAATGTGTCAAAATTAAGACACATTTTGCCAAATGTTAGCTTTTTTGTTTGTTTTATTTTGCATCTCTTTTTGCAGTGTACAACATTCAGACAACTTAGTACGTTTTATATTGGAGTGAATTTTACTATGAGATTTCAATCCATTTTCCCCTACATAACAACAAATCATATATCTGAGCATTCCTTGTGATGAGGGAAATAGTGACCCACTGTTTATTTCTTCCAAGGGATTCATATGTAGATCTACTGTAAAAAATGTGATTAACAAAAAATGTTATTTCGTCCAACTTGTTCGTCCATGGAACCAGCTTAAAGTTGCTCCAATCCTGTCCCATGTCTTTGCGTCCTGACAGTTTTTAACCAAAACACATCCGATGGTTGTGTTTGGCCTGTGTTGTGTTGAGGAGCCACTGTTATCACAAGGGATTCTCTTCCGTTTATTCAAGAGGCTTTTGTCATTTCTTTCATGTAGCATTGGGTGTTTTTTTGCTGCTAAAACAAGAGTATTATGAGTTGCCGTTGGTGGATGAGTGGTTGGATTTGACTTTTCAATAGTGTGTTTAATGCAATAGTTATTTTACTCTGTATTTGAAACCATAAAGGCCTTTTAGTGACGTTTAATTCCAAGGGATCTCAAATAAATAAATAAAATGTGAACTTTTACTTGTCCTTTTTATTTTTCATATGAGAGAACGTTTATTGAGTGCTCTAATAGAAATGACAAAGTCACTCAATCCAATGTAAAGTGCTGGGATAATGTATCACCATTGTATTTGTTAGTTAACATTATTAACTAACGGGTAAAGATTCACTTGTTTGGTGGTTTTTACATCCATTAAATAAGACATTTGGCCTCTAGTGAATCAGATTTGATCAAGATAAAGTGAACCAGACCAACACGAGTGAATTTCATCCTCATGACATAAAAAGTAAAGAAAATCATAAGTATACTATGAAATAACACATGCACTGTACAAGGTTAGTGGTCTTTTTTTGTATTTACAATCACGGTATTATAGGACACTTAGAGGACCTACAACGGCAATGAAGAATGGATCAAAAGCAAAGGACAAATTTCCTCATGGGGACAACAAAGTATAACTAACAAGTGAAAAGGATATGCATAAAAAGCAGATATAGTATTTGTGACACTATTATACTACAACATTTCATACATCTGCCTTTTACCACTCCAGGTGAATTCTGGACCAAGTTCGTTATTCGGAGGAAAGTCATTTGCAAGGCACATCTATGTAAAAAGGGATGCTTCGGTCTCACAATGGGCCTTTTACACGTACGCGCGGGCACAAAGGTCACACACGTTGCCTGGTGATATGAGAAGAGGAGTAGGACAGACACACACGCACACACACACACATACACACACATACAGTCTATAACAGCACCTCCCACTTTTTGTGTCAATATTGGATCAGAGCAACGCACCGTGCGACAGGTGGACCCAGGAGGGGGAGGAGGGACTGATGGAGGGGCAGAGACAAGACACACAGGTATAAAAGGTGTGTATGAGGCTTTGGCACGACACATCCAGCGCGCGTAAAGATGTGCCATGGAGTCAGACCCGGAGCGCGCGCGTCCTCTTCCTCTACAGGTAGGCAATGACTTATCTCGATAATATTATTTTTATTTTTAACAATCCCACACGAGCTGCTTTAACTGCTCAAGTAACATCTTCCAACTTTTCAGGTGTAACACGAGGAAGGTGTTTTTTTTATTTTCAATGTCCGTATTTGCTTCACGTTGAGCCTCACGCACAATACCTGAAGGTGACGTTTTGTTCGTTCGGCTCGCGTTATGCAGATACGGAGTGGCATCTGTTCCGACAACTTGTGTTTTTTTCAACTTGTAAAACCATCAAGGAGCATCACCAACTTCAAACTCCCAACGCAAATCCTGGACCCGGCTGCTTGACGCATGCGTATTAATGAAAGACGATCCCATATGGTTTGACTTGGTGGATGTTATTGCTGCTATGTTATGGATTAGTGTGTGGTTTTTTCTTTTGTGGTTTGGAAAATACTTTTGGACGTGTGTGTTTCCATCTGTGCACAATGAATTTCAATAAAAAGAGTTTGTTTGAACCAAGCTCCAGGTGTGTAGGAGTTCTCTCTGAAGGTAGAGTTGCTCATTTGCATACAGCTGGTGGGAGATAAGCCTTTGGAAAACAGACTTTTATTCTATGAACCGCCATATTTCGTTAGAACATGTATCATAATGGTCATATAACAATATACTACGCTTGCATTTTTAAAAATCATTGACAAATATTCCATTCATTTTCACTGGGGAAAATACATAGGCCTGTTTTATATATGACTTGCATTGGATTTATTGCACTAATATTTCAAACTTGTGAGTTTTCCTATTGACACACTGATAATGAAGGTACTGCCTGCTCAATTGGGCTCTATATTAATTTACTGTCCGCCTCTTGCGTCACGGTGGAGAACAGACAGGGCTTAATGGGATGTAATAATGGTAATCATTAACTAAACATTAACCTCACAAACACATGCAGCTGATTTAGAGCCATCTGCCTTTTCACATACACTATTCATCTGGTTAAATATGTGGCTGGCAGCATATGGACCACACACACACACACACACACACAATGAGTGCGGGTAAAACATTCACAACATGTTGGCTATTCGATCTCAAACTGATTTTCAACACTGTCTCGACTTCTGCCTTTTCGTTAATCGCACACGATGAAACAATTCCTCTTTTGTGTTTGCTATGAGATTACGTTTTCATGTTAATTCCTAGTCGAACAAGTCTGGAATGAGAATTTTGTTTTCAGAGTTTGGTTTTATAAATGTCATCTGTGTGTATAGGGGAGATAATAAGACGTGTATGTGTGATGTGCTCATAACAAGGGCCGTGGGAGAAACTGGTGGTAAGGCAAATGTTAGGCAAATGATTACAACACACTTTACACTTACAAGAGGTAATTAGAGTTACATTTATCAAGGACAATGTACAGTTACATTCAAAAGATGGCTGCACCAGATTCAGCGCCAGCTAGTTTCCACCTGCAGCTCTTGACACTACAATCATACAGATACATACATACACAGATAGAAAGATAGATGGATGGATAGATAGATAGACATATTCTGGTACATAGATAGATAAATACATGGATTGATAGATGGACAGACATATAGAGAGACACATATATAGATAAATACTTTATTGATCCCTGTAGGAGAAATTCAGGTGTTCAGCAACAGAAAACACATCCACATAAACACATATGCACAGTTCTTCCTATGTGGTTTTGCTGCAAATGGCAAATAAATGAATCTGAATCAGAATCTGATATGCAACACACATGATAAAATACAGTTCAGTAGAAATTCACCAATGTAGCTATAGTCCCAAGTCACAAAGGACAAGATACAATATAATTAACACTTAGCAGCAAATTAAAAAGGTTCACACACAAAAAATAAGACATTTTGTTTTATTAAGGACAATGTGCAGGCACATATTATGTATTGTTATTGAGGTTATTATATTCCAGATAAAGCACCATGCAACTACTGGTATAAGGTGCGATACAAAGTTTACAATACAGGTTTTAGCGGTGATATAGAAAGTGCTATACAATTTTCAACCAACAAAACAGATGAATATCATTTAAAATATTGCTAAAATATGGCAAAAAGTGTCTTAATTTGAACACATTCTGACTGGGCCTTACAGTGTAACAAGAATTTCCTATGAGACCATGAAAAAATTGTCTTGTTTTGAAAAGATACAAGAAAAGTCTCCCTTGGAATGAGAAAATAAAGCAACAGTTCTTGAAATACATCTAAATGTCTTTGTCCCATTGGAGAATCTTCAGATTCTCAGTCAGAATATGTCAGATTAAGATAAAAAACCCATTTTTACCTCATATTTTATATATTTTTGCAGTGCAGGCTTACAATAAGATTCAGCCTTTAACCTTGTTTAATCTTACACTACATACACTTTAGTTACTCACGTTTGTACAATACAGATGTTGTACCTCTGAATCCTCTCAATAAACACCAAACATATTCACTAATAAAACACATTTTGCCACCTCTTTAATAAGATCTTTTTTAATAAACTTATTTTCTTTTTGTTCACATATACATTTTATTGGATGTAAATTGCATTTTGGTGTCGTCCAAAGCAAGTTTTAAACATACAACTGTGTCAAAACAATGATATGGACATACAAGTGCAAATCAGAGATAAAAAGTCAAAGCAGAAGTTTTCTTGATGTTAGGCAAGGCAAGTTTATTTGTATTGCACAGTCCTTAAAGAGATGAACAAGATAGAATCAACCACACAAGGCCTTAAAATATTAATCACAGTGCGTTAAAA